ACCACCACTCCCACCACCCTCCACCCCCAGCCAGGCCCAAGCCGCTTCTGGAGCTGTTCACCTGGGTGTAGTCCTGGACCTTTGTGCCTCCGAGTGCAGCCACATATTCAATGCACGCACTCGGAGCTCCACGGACGGAGTGCCGGCCACAGCCGCCAGCTGAGTGGCCTGGGCTGGGTATCAGAAGAGAGAAGGGAACACTGGGGACAGGAACACTGCAGAGCCGTTAAAAATAATGGTGCCTGGGTCCCACTCCCAGAGATCCTGGTAAAGCTGCTCTGGGTGCAGCCTGGACTCAGGATTTTTCAAGCTCCCACATGACTCTAACAACCAGCTGAGGTTGAGAACTAGTCATAAACATTTTTCTGAAGGACTAACTGATAAATTACTCTGCCTGAGATACTTGCTATCAAATTTATTAACATTGCTGAAAAATATTAAAAGAATACTTTTCATGAGTTTCCAATTAGCAATATCCTAGAGGAACATAAGCTGTTTCTAATTAAGTTAGGATTTTTTAAAAAATTCAATAACCAAAGCAAATGGATAAACTAAACGATAACCTAGGGCTGAGTACTAATGAAGGATGAATGCATGGATGGATGGAAGGAAGCAAACTAACTGATCAGAGGACAATTATTACCCAGAATATGTAGGAAAAATCCTAAAAATCAATAACATAAGGAAAAAATGAGCAAAAGAAATCAACACACAGCATTTTACAGAAAAGGAAACCCCAATGGCCAGTAAACATGTGAAAAGATGATCAGTCTTATTATAATTGGGGAATCACAAATTAAAACCACAATAAAATAGGCTTTTATTGCCCCCTAAATTGAAAAAATGAAGATAGAAAGTCTGCTCATATCAAATGTTGGGAAGATGCTGAACAGCAGACTCTCACACTCCCGCCACTATTGCGAGCATATCCACTGGCACAGCTACTCTGGAAAATTACTGGGTATTGCACACACTCTGCACCAAGCAACTCCACTCTGAGGTTTGGGCTTCATCTAGAGAAAGGCCAGCAGACATGTCCAAGAGTGTTCACATCCAAGACCTAACACTGTTTGTAATAATGAATTAAAAAAGAAGGAAGAACCAGATGCCCATTAACAAAATGAATGATACGTAATTGTTAGGATGGCAAATCTCTCCAACTGACCTATAGGAACAACACAATCCCTATCAAATCCCAGGTTGGTTTGTTTGTTTGTTTCGAGTGGGGGGAAGAAACTGAAAAGGGATCTCAAAAATCATATGGAAATGCACAGGACCCAGAATAGCCAAAACAACTTTGAAAAAGAAGAACAAAGTTAGAAGACTTACACCACCCAGTTTCAAAACTTACTGTAAAATCATAGTAATCAAAACAGTATGGTACTGCCATAAGGACAGACTTACAGATCTGTGGAATACTCAGGAGTCCAGCGATAAACCCTTACATTTATGGTCAGTTGACTTTTGACAAAAGTGTCAAGATAATTCAGTGGGGAAAAGACATCTTTCTAACAAATGCTGCTGAGACAATTGGATATCCATACGCAAGAAAAATAAACTTAGATTCTTATATCATACACAAAAATAAATTCAAAATGGAACACAGATCTAGATGTAAGAGCTAAAACTATAAAACTTCTAGAGGAAAACATATGGGAAAAATCTCATTATCTGGGGTTAAGCAAAGAGTTCTTAGATATAAATCCAAAAGCATGAGCCAAAAAAGAGACAACTGGTTAACTGAACTTCATTAAAATTAAAAATGTCCACACTTTAAAAGACACCATTATGAAAATCAAAAGATAAGCCACATACTAGAGAAAATACTTTTGATCACATGTTTGATGAAGAACTTGTATCGAGGATATATAAAGATTTATTACTACTCAACAAGAAGATAAACAACCTGATTTTTAAAACAGGCAAGACTTGAATAGACATTTCACTAAAGAAGATATAAAAATGGCCAATAAGCACATGAAAAGATATTCAATATCAATAGCACAGAAACGCAAATTAAAACCACAATGAGATGCCACTTCAAACCTACTAGGATCGCCCGGCCGGGCGTGGCTCAGCAGTTGAGCGTCGACCTGGGATCCAGGTGATCGGGGTTCAATTCCCGGTCGGGGCACATGCCCGGTTGTGGGCTTGATCAATGACTGTCTCATCATTGGTGTTTCTGCCTCTCTCTCTCCCCCTCCTTTCCTCTCTCTGAAATCAATAAAGATATATTTTTAAAAAAACAAAACAAACAAACAAACAAAAAACCTACTAGGATGGCTATAATCAAAAAGACAGACAACTGTTGGAAAAGATGCACAAGAACTGGATGGCCCATACACTGCTGGCGGGAATGCAAGTGGTGCAGCCATTCTGCAAAGCAGGTTGGCCATTCCTCAAAGAGCTAAACATAAACTTAGCGTATGACTCAGCAATTCTACTCCTAGGAATCTTCCCAAGAGAAATGAAAACATATGTCCACACAAAGACTTGTATGCCAGTGTTCATAGGAGCATTACTCATAAGAGCCAAAGTGGAAACAGTCTAAATGTCTATCAATTATTACTGAATAATAAAATGTGGTTACTCATACAATAGCATACCAGTCAGCAGTACAAAGGTACTGGCACTATGACACAGAGGAACTTCAAAAACATTATGCTAAGAAACAGATGCAAATGATTACATATCGTATGATCCCACATACATGAAATGTCCAGGAAATGCAAGTTTATAGAGTCAAAAGCAGATCAGTGGTTTCCTGGGGCTGGAAGTGGCAGCAGGATTTAATTGCAAACATGTCTGAGGGAATCTGAAGGGGAGGGTGATGAAAACATTCTAACACTGGATTGTGTAATAGCTGCACAACTCTGTAAACTCACTAAAAATCACAAAATTGCACACTTACAGTGGTAGATCTTAGGATATGTAAAATATATCTCAATAAAGCTAGAAAAACAAAAACCTTATTGCAGAGCAAATAAGGTGAACTGGTCTCATTTCTCCGCACTCCGCAGCTTCACTACCTTTATTAAATAAAGAAGGCAGTCTTTAAAGTATTGAAAGTAAAACAGTTATGATTAACCAGACGTGGAGGTAATTAAACATGTTCACAGTTGTTTTCTTTGAGAAAACATGAATCGAATCTCCTTCACATGTAAAACTTAGAAGTCACCGTTCTATACCACAATACTCTATGTAGAGATGCTGCCAATAAAAATACTTTGAAGAAGCACTTGTTAGTTTAGATATTTTCTCACTTGAGCCCCTCAGCAAGCAACTCCCGTCACACACATCCAGATGAGAAGACCCTTCTTCGCAGGTATTTACTCTGGAAACCAACACCAGTTATTGAAGGCAAGTGGGCTCGGGTTTGCCCTGGTCATGAAACACCCAAAAAAAAAACACCTACCATATAAAGTGCCTTCTTAACAGACTTCAAGCACCCAGTGCAAAGACTCCCAGGCTCTCCTACCCCTCTCTCCAGAGCAAGAGGTGAGAAAACAAATGTCATTTTGAACAAAATAGGATCTGCCCTTTTGAACTAAAATGGCTGTTCAGAAATTCTTTGTTAACTTTGCTCTGAAAATCATAATGCATAGATTATTTTTTTTACGGTTTATTTCTGAGCATGGTTTGCCAAGACCGGATGATCTTAAGGGTCAAGAAACAGAATAAGTTGTTTTCCTTATAGAACTTACTCCTGTGATCCAAGAGTTGTCATGATCAACAAATTCATCAACAAAACAGGTTCAACAAATGTAACTCTCCTAACATCATAATCATGTTTTCTTTGTCACATAATTATGCAGAATATGACCCCCAAAATGTACATATCAGGGACACACAACCATTAGTCCCAAAGACACAAAGAAAACCTGGTCAATGAAACCCAAAATACAGTTGGTCAACCTTTAGTTTGTACAAATCATAAATGTGTCAGGGGCTATGAAGAGCCAATGAACTGCGCAACCCAGAGGGCATCATTAATACTGTATCTAGGGTTAATTTCTTGGAATTGTGTAGGTACAACCTGTGTAGCTGCACTTGGTGGCTCTGGTATTAGCCATCTCATAAAAACAGATTCACAGTAAATATGTGGAAATAGAAGGGATGAAAAAAGTAGACCATGAAGGCAGGTCTCTGAAAACCCTAACTATTCACAAAGGAGTTTTACACAGGAAATTCTGAAGAAAAAGAAAAAAATCACTAGACCTGACCTGAATGACTATTTTTAGAGCCTTCACTTTCTGGTCCGAGGCCCAGGCGTCCTTCAGCGACTGGTTAAGCTCCTCTATGCGATTCACATAATCCTGTTGAGTTAAATTCAACAGTTCCTTTTGGGATCCCTGTGGGAAGAAAACAGGAAAGTGTTAAGCACAAAAGGAAAACCTTGTTTGACTTCCAACCCCATAACCAGTATTGACCAAGCCTTGCTGTCTAAGTTTTCCTCATAAGCCCACCAGGACTGATAGTTCTGTCTTGTGAACAAAGAAGTTCTTTGAGTTTTCTGCAAAGATGGGCAGAGTGCTGTGACTGAGAGACTAGGTCTGGAGGCCAGTCTGACTTAGGCTAACTCCCAGCTCAGCCACTTCCTACCACAGGACTCTGGGTGAGCTGCTTTCCTCCCAGAGCCTCAACTGTGGTCAGAGATAACAGGGATAACAAAAAGTTATCAGCGCCCACCGTGTGCCGGCACGGTATGCCAGGTGCTCAAGATACAAAAGTAAGCAAAGAAACAATTTCTGCACTAAGGCACAGAGGGCAAGATGGACATTAATACGAGATGAAATAAATGCTTGGGAGGAAACAACAGTTCACTAAACCTGAGGTGCCCGCTGTAAGAAGTACAACTGTTTCATGTACCACTAAAAAAAAACTTCTGATCACTGACATGGACCAACTGAAAGACATGGCCCAATTTCAGGGACATTCAAAGAAAAGGTGCATCTTAGAATGGAAGAAATATGGTAATAGGAATGTACTTTAGACTGGTGGTCAAGAATGGTTTCCTGGAGGAAGTGATGCGTGAGACAAACTCTCAGTGGTATACAAGTATTAAGTAGGCACTGGTGGGGAGGGGTGTTAACTAGACCAGAGAGAGGGCATTCAGGACAGAACAGACCACAGCAAACACCTGTGGCAGAAGAGAGCAAGATCACTACATGGATGAAATAATGTAGGAGGACTTAGCACAGCCCCTGGCGCACAGTTTGTGCTCAGTCATTCTTGTCTATAGTTGGGACGCTGTAAGCTCACAGGAGTCAGGGTCATTCGATCCCACATAAGGAGATCAGAAGCCACATATTTTTTATGTGAACGTCCCCTGAAAACCAAAGTGAAGAACTCTGTTAAAGAAATACAAGTAGAAGGTTCAGGAAATCTGGACTGATCCCAAATGGTCATGTGAACTGTGAGATAGGGTCCTCCCGGCCCCTTTGCAGTAGGAGGAGCCATGTGACTAGTTTGGGCAAATGGGCTGCGAGCAGAAGGGCTGTGAGCTTTTGGGCTGAGGCAGTAAAAAGTGACCCTTCATTTAGCTTGGCTGTGACGACCCTGGAAGCTAGATGGCAGCACTATGAGATGGTGTGTCTGTCAGCAGCACTGGGCGAGTAACATGAGGAAGAAACAAACCTTATAAAAGCCACTCAGGTGTGGGGGTTCATTTGTTACCACAGCGTAACCTAGCCTTACCCTGACTAACATGCTGTTAACTTGGAAGCCATGGGGCAGCCATCTCTGCTGTGAACAAAGAAACCAGTCTGCAAAAATAAAAAAATTTTTAAAAATGGAGAACTAGAATCAGTGGGGGAGGCCACAAAGAACCAAGAGAGCTAGAGGCCAGCTGCTGGGTTCCTGGGTGGTTCCTCGAGTCTGTGGATCCAGGCCACTGTGTCCCTGAGTTCAGGACAGTGCCCTTGTCTCCTTCAATCTAGTCTCCATTTTCAACTTAAGCCAGCCTGAGTGACTTTCAGAGACTCAGAGACTACAGAGTTTGGATTAAAACCCTCAGCAATTCCCTTCCTACCTGCGAAGATTGGCTAATGATATGCAGGCTGAGGCTCACCAGCATCTTAATTCAAAATGTGTCCTGTCTGAATTGAGAAGTAAGAGAATGGACTATTAGACTCTGCTGAGGACCCAACAACTCTGGTCTCAGAGCTGAAAGGACCCTGGACCCAGGGGCAAGATGCAGGGCAGAGCAATGCAATTGCCATGACATGGCAGGCCCTTTGTGGATTCCAAAGCATCCTCATTCAGTCCACACAACAAGATTCTTTATTCCCATTTTATAGATGAGAAACTTGGTATAGAAAAGGTCAATGGGCACCCTGTTAATAAGCAGTCGTGCTAAGGCATCCAGACTCAGAATAATGTTGGTGACAGCAGCTAACATGTGTTAGTCTAAGCACTTCTGATACACTAACTCATTTAATCCTTGTAACAACCCTAAGAGGTAGGTACTATGTAGCATCCCCATTTTACAGGTAAGTAAACTGAGGCAAAGAGCTGTTAAGTACCTTGCCCAAAATCACAGACTTACCAAACAGTAAAGCAAAGATTCAAACCCAGGCAGTCTGGTTCCAGGGTTTGTCCTCTTACCCACCACACTACGCTGCCTCCCTAAATGATATTTCAGAGTATGCCCACTCACCTGTCACTAGGGGCCAAGCTAGTAATGCTCATAAGTGAATTGAGACAGAAGGACTTCAACCTGGATGGTGCATGCCCTGGTTAAATGCAAGAATGTGGGCCCAGCCTGGCCAGCAGGGCTCAGTCATTAAACATTGACCTATGAACCAGGAGGTCACAGTTCGATTCCCAGTCAGGGCACATGCCTGGGATTCAGGCTCAATCCCCAGCAGGGGGAGTGCAGGAGGCAGCTGATCAATGACTCTCTCATCATTGATGTTTCTCTCTCTCTCTACCTCTCCCTTCCTCTTGAGGAAATCAATAAAAATACTTTTTTAAAAAAAGGATGTGGGCCCACAATTATCAGGTAGAATTCAAGAGAAGCAGAAATCTAGAATTATGTTAAATTTACCAATTTTTAAGAGTTAGTAAATGTGTCATGTTTTTTGAAAGCACATGCAAGCCAATTAGGAGTCCTATGGGCCATACCAAACCAGCAGAGCAGCCGTGTAGTCTCTACAACAGCAAGGCAGGACCTTTATCCTACGCTTCCCAGGGAGATGGCTCCAGTGGTATATACAGTGAGACCCTGTTCCTAGACAACCTGGGTTTGCTCAGGCATCACAGTGAAAAAAGATGCCTTCAGAAAACCAGCCTGAACCTGAGGTAGGCTCCTGTGAGCTTGGCCAATGCACCACTGGCATCTTTCCTGGATCAGCTGGTGCCTCAGGAGGACTGGGCACAATGCACAGCTCAAGAATTAATCAAAGAGCAGCCACCAAGATGGAGCTCACTTGGCAGAGGAAATGAGAGCACCACCTGGCCCTGTGCTCAGTCAATGACCTGCTCACCTCCTCAAAGTCATCCAGCTCTTCCAGCCTGGTCCGAACCTTCTCCGACACTGCAAATGCGGCAGGCCCAGTTTTGCCTAAACAAAATGAATTCATGTCACACAAGTGGCTTTCCTCTGTCACCAATACCCCTACAGGAAGGCATCTTTAACTTTACACTTCATCATAAATAAAAAGGCCAGAGAACAATCTCAATCCAAGATTTGGGAAGCAACATCCTTCGGTAACCACAGTTCCATGAGAAACATTTCTGCTTAGGAGCTACCCCTGGGAGCTCGGAGGACCAGCCTAAAAAGGTTCTACTATATTTGATACTTATAAACTTTCACTGCATCATTTATCTATTCCTGAAGAAAGGCGGTCCAGATAAAGATGCCAAAAATCCATCATTTAACTGTTCTGCAGGAACAAGAGGCCTCTGAGGCTTGTACTCAGTGTAGAACTGTTATATCCTTACACTAACAAAACAGCAGTCTCTCTGTCTGCCTGGAAAACGGCACACTAGGGCTTCAAAACCCTCTCTCAGAGCAAACAGGACTAGCTACGCCTCCGTCCACCATCTGTCAGCACAGTTCTTTCCATCAGCAGGGACAGGTGGACAGAGATTAGCAGGGGTGGGGAACGTCCGGACCGCGGGCCTTATAAAGCCCTTGAAAGCATTTGGCCTGGCCCTGCCAAGGCAACCGCAGGCGGGACTCTAAATTCAATAAATCTAGGAATTTTCATAGCAAGGATAATTTTGTATGGCCCGCGAATGATATTATAAATATCCAAATGGCCCTTGGCAGAAAAAAGGTTCCCACTCCTGGATTAAGGAAAGACTTCCAAGCCATGAGCCAGCTGCAGGGCAAAGCTACATATGCAGCTGGCCGTTGCTCTCCAGTGTCTCCGATTTCAGAACACTTTCCCATTCTTAAGGGGGCAACTGTTCTAGATCTGAGGTCCCCTTGCTCCTGCCTAACAAAATCACTTCAGGAACTAAAGTTTATTCTCTTAAGGCACTGGTGTCTTAGCTTTGGTGTTAACTCAGATTTGTCTGGGATCAGCTGAGAACAGTACTATTAGTTAATTACTAACAATTACTAAAGTTAAGAAGTTTCCAAATAATTTGTTTGTACTTTTACCTTTTTCTACTTTTTCTTTCATTCTGAAATATACTATATACAGAACTGTGCATGCATGTACATTTTAATACATATTAAACCTCTGCAACAACCACTGAGTTCACTCATTTTCACTGCTGTGTAGGCCATTGTGTGAATGCAACACAATTCTTTCTTACTCTACTGTCGATGGGTGTTGTTTCCTGTGTGGGGCCACTCTGAACAATGCTGCTGTGATCATTTCTGTGCATGTCTCCTGGTTCACATATGCATGCATTTCTTCCAGGCAATGCTTTTCGAACTTCTACAGGAATCACTAAGGATGTGTTAACATGCAGATTCTGATTTTCAGATCTGGGAGAGCCTGAGACTCTGCATTTCTAATGAGTTCCCAGTCACCTGCTGGTCCTCAGAGCGCACTTTAAAAAACACAGATGTGGGCAGAGTTAGAAAAACTCTTTCTATAGAGAGCCAGATATAAAATTTTAGGTTTTGTGAGTCATATAGTCTCTGTAAAACTACTCAACTCTGCCATTATAAAAGCAGCCATAGACACCATGTAAACAAACTGGTATAGCTGTGTTTCCATAAAACTTTATTTACAAAGTCAAATAGTGGGCCAGATTTGGCCAGCAGGACATAGTCTGCTGATTTCTGATCTAGGGTATATCCTAGCAATAGAACTTCTGGGTCAAGGAGTTAGCCCATTTTCAATTTTAATAGATAATAGAAAAGTATTTTACACAGCGAGTAATGTATGAGAATTTCTTTGCTCTACATTCTCACCACAAGAGATATCATCAATTGTTTTTATTTTTTCCAAACTGGTGGATATGCAATGCTACGATTTACTTCTTTATCATTTGAGGTCAAAGTTATGCCCATAACAAAGGTGCTCCCACTCTCTTGATTTCCAATGTGCTGTTTCAACCTGCAGAGAATGGCAGAGAGTCGCAGCTACCACACCAGAAATTTACACAAAAACCAAGGCCAAGCTCATCTGCACTCCAGCGGTACATGATCTGTCGGTTGCTTCTGAATTACCTGAGCTTCAAAAAGGAAGTTCCTGGGCCCATTCCTCAGGATTAATTCACCAATGCAGTGGGGCCGGTGGTCTGTACTTATACAGAAGGTCCTCAGATGACCCTGCTGCACAGCCAGTTTGAGAACCCGTGGTCCAGAGCTTCTGACCGTGTGTCTTGGCAGAGGAAACTGAGAAGTGCTGTGTTCAGAGACCAGTGGCCATTAAGTCTGAATGTTGGACTCCCTCACCAGCACATCTGCATTTTTACAAGGGAGAGACTACTGCTCTGTAACCCTAAAACCAAGCAGCAGGCTTAAGTTTTACTCCATGTAACTCTTTGGTCTTTTTTTCCATTCATCATCTAAATATGTATTTCAATTCTCCTAAGTCTATATATAAGCTAGGAAATAATAGCTTCAATTGAATTAATCCTCAGAATTGGATAACAAACACTTTTTTTCCTTTGTGAAATTATATTAAAGATAATGAGAGAATTCCCCAGCAAAATATAACAACAAAAACTCACCTTTTTCAGAACCCATAAAGAGATTCTGCAGAGGCAAAAAAAAATTGTTAATAATTTTTAATTTTTAAAACTTACTGGATTTGATGGAAAAAAAACAACTTATAAGCTACTTAAATTAGTATTCAAGAAGCACTAAGACAATAAGACGCATCATTTTCCAACAAACAATTTACTTCTCCATATGAAAAGTAGAAATATTTATTAAAAGGATGAAAATACACCTATATAAAAACTACTGGAGATTCTAATTTCTTTTCAGTTTAGGTCTCTCGAAATGAGCCAACAAATAGCAAAATTTTGAGGGCAATGGAATCACATGACAGCATTTAGCTTACTCTAAATCAGGTTTCACAACCTCAGCACTACTGACATTATGGGCTGGAAAATTCTGTTGTGGAACATCCTGTGCCTTGTAGGATGTTCAGCAGCATCCCTGGTCTCTACCTACCAGATGCCAGTTGTACCCTCACAGTTTGAAAACAAAAATCCAGACATTGCAGCATGTCCCTGGGGGGTAAAATTACTCCCAGTTGCGAATTGATGTTCTAAATTAAATGAATGCATATAAAAAATAAGAAAAATAATTTAATTGTCCAACAGTTCTACCTGTCATTCTGCTCAACAAGAATACACCCTGAGAGAAAGAGGAAAGGACAGGCGCTGTGACAGAGCATTCCTACTGCCTACCAAGGTCTCCCTTTCCTCCCTACTCACAGCTGAATTTTTGATGGGCACACTGTCACATTTCCCAGCTTCCCTTGCATCTACATACAACTCATGGCTACCTTCCAGACAAATTAACTGGATGCATTGAGGGGGGCTCCAGGAAGTCTCTAAATGAGAGAGGGTACATCCTACTTTCCCCGTTCCTCCTTCTAACAACTTGACAGGAGGTGACGCTGGGCCCTTAACCTGTGGGATCTGATGCTATCTCTGGGTAGACAGTGTCACACTCGGTTGAATTGCAGGACCCCCAGCTGGTGTCATAGAATTGCTTGGTGTGGGGGAAAAACTCACATGTTGAAATTTGGTGCAGAATCATAATAACAAAAAAGAAATTACTACTAACTCTGAGATAGACTTTGGGGAAGTCTACTGGCACTCACAATGGAAAGCTTTTCTGTGGTAGTGTACCGGGCAAGGATTTCTCCTCGTTTGCTGGTCCAAGACTCAAAATCTGGTCCTACAACGGAGTTCTCATCTCTGTCACGTTTCTTTCTGGAACTGTCCTAAGGAAAGGAAAGACAATGTCTTCAGTACCAATATCATTTTTATCTTAAAAAAAAAAAAAGTATAAGCAAACACAGGGACTAAACATGGTATTCTATAACTGAAATTTGCTAACAGGGCAGAACTAAATATTCTCACAAAAAAGGTAAATATGTGAGGTGATGGATATGTTAAATAACATGATGGGGGAACCCGTTCACAATGTATATATACATCAAATCATCACACTATATACTTTAAATAACTTACAGTTTTGTCAACTATACCTCAATAAAGTTTTTTAAGAAGTATAAGAAGAGGGCAACCCTGGCCAGAGTGGTTCAGCGGTTAGAGTGTTGGCCCACGCACCAAAGGGTCCCAGGTTCAATTCCTAGACAAGGGCACCTGGGCGGCAGGTTGAATCCCGGGCCCCAGTCAGGGTGAGGGCAGCAGGCAACCAATCAATATGTCTCTCTCACACTGATGTTTCTCTCTCTCTCTCCCCCCCTTGACTCCTCCTCCCTCCTTTCCACTCTCTCTAAAGATCAATGGGGGCAGGGGGGAGATGGCAGCTAGTACCTTACTGTAGAATGAAATACATCTATCAAAAAGTTTGCTATGATAAAAAAAATGTTAGGCCAATTCACCATAAATGGCCAATAAACATATCAAAAGACGCTAAAACTCATTAAAAATCAAGAAAAGGTCCTGGCTGGTGTGCCCGGTGGTTAGAGCATCAGCCTCCGCACTGCAGGGTCACAGGTTCCATTCCCAGTCAAGGGCTCGTGACTGGGCTGTGGGTCTGCTCCCTGCTCCCGGTCAGGGTGCGTGAGGAAGGCAACTGGTGGATGTGTCTCTCACATCGATATTCCTCACCACCACCACCCCCCGCCTTCCTCTCTCTCTGAAAAGCAATGGAAAAAATATCCTCGGGCAAGGATTAATAAAAACAAAAAAAAGAATCAAGAAAACTGAACAAGATCATTTTTCAACAATCAGAATGGCAAAGGTAAAGAGTTAACATGACTAATAATATCCAGGTTGGCAAGGATGCAGAGACAGACACTCTGAAATACTGGGTAACAATTTGGCAATAGCCATCAAACCTTAACTACACACTGCCTTAATTCGGTAATGAAATTCTAAGAAGCTGTCCTGCAGAACCCCCTGCATGTATACACCAAGATGTACATATGTTCAAGGACCAAGGTACCACCGTCTATGCTAGCGAACACCAGAAACAGTCTGTGTACATGAGAAGAGGAATGAAGAATTAATATAATGCAGCCATTCAAAATAAGAAGGTTGTTCTAGAAGTACTAACATGGTAAGTTCTCAAGACAAACTGTCAAGTTTAAAAAAAAAAAAAGTTCTCCAAGACATATTATCATATTAATAGTAAAGTATAAATGCAGTTCAAATTACATTTTTTTAAAAAGTAAGTAGATATATGCAATGCCAACACTGAATGCTGGTTGAGAGTGTGAACTCCGGTCAGACTGGCCGGGTTGGAACTCCAGCTTAGCTGTGACTCAGCATCTCTATCCCTCCGCGTGAGCCTCTTTCAGGATTATACTACTTCCGGCACAAGGTGATATGAGAACTACTCAGAATGCACTAGGAAACGCCTGCCACACAGTAAGGAGATACTATTACTGTTGTTATTTACATATGAGTATGATGTATGTAAATGCTCAGAAATTACTGTCATAAATATCTGTGAGAACCAAAGAAAAAGTTATAGAAGAATACACATTACACAGATAACACTATGCCTCCAGGGTGATGAACAGAACCGGGATGGTCAACAGGACTTCATTTGTAGTGTTTGACTTTTTACATAAAAAATTAATTGAATTACCTATATAATTACATAAGAATAAATTTTTAAAACACAATTATAAAAACAGTAAAATGAAAAGAAAGCATGCATTTTAAAATGCTTTAAAAAGGAAAGGAAACATCTTTCAGGATCTGTGCCAGCCCCTCACCAGGGTCACCTGCTAAAGCCGCACCCTGTGGACGTCTGCATTATGGGAACTGTTACAACCAGAAAGCCCCCGTGTGATTTAAAAAGAAAAAGATGAAACCCCATCCCTGAGCCACAGGACCAACCCCCAGCGGTGCCCGCCAGCAAGAGGGGGGTTACCGTGACAGCTGCCGGGGCGGGGTCGGCGGCGGCTGCGAACGCGGAGAGGGGGTCGGTTCCGTCCAGCACAGTGCTCAGCGGGTCCCCCAGGGAGCTGGAGGAGGACGTGGAGGAGGTGCTGCCTTTCCGGCTCACTCTCTTAGTCTTCGACTCCGTGACCTGTGGGGAGCACGCATGGGGGTTAAGTGGAAGCCTCCTCCAGCTTTTCCCTTAGAAACACTTGAAGGGGTGTCCCCTCCTTCCAAGCATTGGCTGTTTCCTTGCCATAGGGTCTCTTACTCTGTGACAAATTGGCGTGACTCAGAATCCCAGAGGTGGAGGAAGGAAAGGGGGAAGCTAGGGTCCAGAAAGAGAGACGGGCGTGTGGTCAGGAGGCGGGGATGTAGGACATTCTTGAAGGGCCCTCTGAGTCAGAGTAGTCACTGGACAAGCATCGGCCACATCTCCTGGAGGCTTATAAAAGATGCAGAATCTCAAGCCCCACTAGACCTACTGCATCAGAATCTGCATCTTATAGCAATGGTCTAGGTAGGGTGAGGAACCAGGACACGTAAGCTCCCAGGGTCATCGCACTCTGAGGACAGTGTCAATGGTTCAGCACTGCCATCTCTTCACTGCAGAGTAGTGAATGCCAACTCCTTCCTTTCTGCAAATTTCTCCCAATGTGATGGCCTGGTTTTAAGTGAGGGCGGATGAGGGTGTTGGGGTATGAAGCCATATTTTTGTTCCACTGGCCCCCATCCCTCCCCAGCTTCAGATGACTAGACCAGGGGTAAACCTCTGAGCCAAGAGGATCCAACCAGAGTCTCTGCTGAGAACAGAGAGCAATATCCAAAAGGGTTAGTTAGGCTCCACTCGTGTTTAAATGAGGAAGTTATGAAAACCCAGAGGCCAGAGGCTGAGAGGCAGTGATGAGCATTTTGGACATGTATCCAAAGGAAAGTAGAAGAAACCAGTCTTCAAGAGAGCAAGAAGGATGGGAGATAACAGAGTAAGAGGGGAGTGTTGGATAAAAGAGAATTTGACTAGCCTTTGTCCTTGGCTCCTGGAAAGGAAACTCTAAGTCCTTGAAGGGTTTGTCATTCATGAGCGCTGCCCCCCATCACACCTGAGTTTATGCTAATGAAATGACACAGAATGGGGGCTGGTCACAAGAAAAACCAACCACTGTAATTAAAGAGTTGGGGCCTTGAGCCAGGTGACATCAGCTTGACCTCAAGGTGGGGGTGGGAAGGGCTGGAGATCAAGTTCAATCAAGTGGCCCAAAGAATCAACCAATCAGGCCTACATAATAAAACACCAATAAAAAGTCTGGCCCGGCTGGGCGTGGCTCAGCAGTTGAGCATCAAACTAGGATCCAGGCGATCAGGGTTCGATTCCCGGTCAGGGCACATGCCTGGGTTGCAGGCTCAATCCCCAGTCGGGGGCGTGCAAGAGGCAACCGATCAATGACTCTCTCACCACTGATGTTTCTCTCTCTCTTTCCTTCTCCTTTCCTCTCTCTGAAATCAATAAAGATATATTTAAAAAAAAAAAAAAAAAGTTTGGACACCAAAACTCAGTGGAGCTTCCTAGTTGAACACATGATGGGCTGAAAGGTGATGTACCGATTCCACAGGCAGAGGACAGAGCAGCTCTGCGTTTAGGAACCCCAAACCTCACCGTGTATGTCTCTTAACTTGGCTGGTCCTCATTTGTATCTTTATAATAAAACTGAGTATGGAAGTACAGTGCTTTCCTGAGTTCTAGTTGTTGTTCTAGGAAATTATCAAACCTGAGCGAGGGGTCTCTGGAAACCCTTGGATTTGTATTCAGTCCAAAGTGCAGGTGACCTGGGGGTCCCCAAGTTTGTGGCTAGTGTAGGAAGCAAGACTAGTCTTATTGAAGACCTTCCCCTTAACCTGCGGGGTCTGACACTGACCCAGGGTGACTGGAACAAGTGCTTGTCATTGGTGCACATTTGTTATTTGGTTTGCCCGGCATCTAGTCCTCCATCTCCCAGGCTCAATAGTCCAAATTTTCATTGGGAAAACAAATCCTCCCACTCCCCAGCCCTACAGGCTTGGTGGGGTGGACTCTGCTCCCAGTTCCCAGGGTGGGTACTAGCCCCAATCCAATCAATGAGCACATTCTATACCCTGGTCACCAGGGTTGGTTCAGGGAAGGACAGGTAATCCAACTAGGTAAATAAGAACTGCTGGAGAAGTGATCCCCCTGCTGCTATGTTGCTAAGGCAGCCGGACATAAGCTTGGAGCTGACACAACTACTCTATCACCACATGGAGAGAGAGTTCCTGAGAATGGAACCGACTCATTGGTGGGTCAGCTGATCGAGCCCATGGGGATTTGAGGGGCCCTAGAACACTAAAGGTCAGGCTTGTGACCTCCTGATTAATGTATTTGTCTCTGTGTGTTCTCAGGTCCTCCACTATAAGAAACTTTATGTTCTTGGTGTCCACTGGCATCTGTCAACCTCATCTCCACCCGTGATGACAATCACATAGCTTCAATCACTTGCCAATAAAAGAGTGCTAATCTAGATGAGAAGGGCCATCTATGTGTCTTGCCTGCCTTTTGTTTTGTTTTTTTAAATAAACTCACAGACAGACTATGATGCTACTCAGGATAGCACCCTATACTGGAAATTAGAGTGATTCTCAATATTCCAAATAGGCAAATTAAAAAGCAAGATATATTCTGCTTACACCTCCAAATCAGGAACAAAGCATCCCATACTCATGGCAACCTCATTGACATGAGAAAGGAAAGAATAAAAATGATGGTGGGTGAGGCCAACACCACAAAAAATGGACAGGGAACAAACCGACAGATTTAAACATGCAAAAGAAGCTACTGCCGGCAAAACAGAAAAGACCCAGGAATACTGCCTATAATTTTATGGAACAGGGATATCATTTGGGGAGGCCTTTGACAAAACTTACAGTTATGGGTTTCAGTGGGTGATAGTCCCCAAACTCCAATGGCACAGCCTCCAGCCTGCATGTTGCAAATTCAGCCTTGTAGTTCCTATTCCTGGAGTGCCTGGTAAACAGCAAAACCCAGAAACCAATTAGGTGATGGAGAAACCTAACATTACAAAAACTTGTTGTTGAGCCTTTCTCAATGATGAGATAGTTTATAGAGGACCAGGTACTAGAAGGCGGGGCCCTTGGGAGGTGATGATGTCATGAGGAGCCCCCGTGAATGAGATTAGTGCCCTTACATTAAAAAATCCCAGAGAGCTCCCTGGTCCCTTACACGCTGTGAGGACACAGTGAGAAGGCACCAGCTTTGAACTAGGAAGTGGGCTCTACAGGAAATACCAAAGGGAGTTATTCTGTCCCCCCCCCCCAAAAAAAGAACACAAAACTATGAGTGAGATGACTAACAGAAGCAGGAAATTACAACCTTTTTTCAGAATAGGGTGTTATACAGTTAAATATAACAGAAAGGCTAAAGAAGGTAACCACATTTTAAGAGAAGACAATAGCTATTGCAATTTGGAAATGAACTCAACACAAATAGGGATAATTTGTGACAGCAAAAACATAAAAGGGAGAGGGTAAAGGTCTGAATTTGCAAAGGGGAATGGAAATAAAGATGTATTCAGAAGAAAAAGAACTATTGTATATATGAAACTTTCTTTTGCATAAACCTAATGGTAACCACCAAAAAAAAAATTCCAGAACTGAGACACAACATAAAAAAAAAAAGAGAAAACAGAGGGGGAAAAAATCAGAGAATACCATCAAATTAAAACAACAGACAGAAACACAGGAGGAAAGAAACAATGAAGACACAGAGCTACAGATAAAATGGCTGCAAAAATCCTCCTATGTCAGTAATTACCCTAACTGTAAATGGACTGATTCGCCAATAAAAAGGCACAGATAGCAGACTGGATTAAAAAAACAACCAGCCCGGCCAGGCGTGGCTCAGCAGTTGAGCATCAACCTAGGATCCAGGCGATCGGGGTTCGATTCCCGGTCAGGGCACATGCCCAGGTTGCGGGCTGCAGCCGATCAATGACTCTCTCATCATTGATGTTTCTGTCTCTCTCTCCCTCTCCTTTCCTCTCTCTGAAATCAATAAAGGTATATTTAAAAATATAAATAAATAAATAAACAAACAAACTAACTAACTTCTGGGATGAAGTCTAAAAGCAGTAGTAAGGGGGAGAAGCCTATCTCGAAACAAGAAAACTCTCAAATAAACAACCTAACATTACATCTTAAAGAACTAAAAAACACACAAATGCAGCCCAAAATCAGCAGAAGGAAGAAAATAATAAAAATTAGAGCAGAATTAAGTAGAGAACAAAAAGACAATACAAAAAAATTAATGCAAAAAAGAGCTGGTTCTTTGAAAAGATTAATAAAATTGACAAACTTCTGGCTAGACTCACTAAGGAAAAAAGAGAAAAGACTCAAATACACAAAACCAGAAATGAAAGAAAAGTTCCGATGTACACCATAGAAATACAGAGGAAAAATATAAGAATACTCTGAGCCCTGGCTGGTGTGACTCAGCTGACTGGGCGTCACCCTGTGCACCAAAAGGCTGCGGGCTCCACCCCCAACAGGGAGCATGCAGGAGGCAGCTGATTGATGTTTCAGTCTCAAACAGATGTTTCTCTCTTTCTCTCCCTCTCCCTTCTTCTCTCTCTAAAAATGAATTTTTTAAAAAGTTTAAAAAAAAAAGAATACTATAAAAGACTATATGCCACCAAGTTCAATAACCTAGAAGAAACGAACAAGTTCTTTAAAATATGTAACCTTCCTAGACTGATTCAGAAAGAACTAGAAAATCTAAACAGACCTATCAATGGTGAAGAAATGGAAACAACCATCAAAAACCTCTCCGGCTCAGTTAGTTGGAGTGTTATCCCATACACCAAAAGGTTGCGGGTTCAATCCCCACTCAGGGAATGTACCCAGGTGGTGGGTTTGACCCCAAATCAGGGCACGTATAGGAGGCAACCAATCAATGTTTTTCTCTCTCTCCAAAAAACATATCTTTCCTCTCTCTGAAATCAATAAAAACATTTAAAAAAAAAAAAAGCCTCCCCAAAAGTAAAAGATCAGGACCAGATGGCTTCACTAGTGAATTCTACCAAACATTCAGAAAAGATCTAATACCTACCCTTCTCAAACTTTTCCAAAAAACTGAAAAAGAGGCAAATGTTACCAGGCTACAAACCCTGGGAAAGACAATAAAAATAAAGAAAACAGCATGGTATTAGCAGGAAAACAGACACAGAGACCAATGGAACAGAACTGAGCGCCTAGAAATATACCCACATGTACACTGGCAAATAATTTTTTACAAAGGAGCCAAAAACATGCAATGGAGAAAAAAAAGTCTCTTCAATAAATATGCTGGGGAAATTGGAAAGTCACATGCAAAAGAATGAAACTAGACTATTTGTCACCATACACAAAAATGAAACTCAAAATGGATAAAGACCTAAATATAAGACCCAAAACAATAAATTGTATAGAAGAAAATATAGGCACTAAACCTATAAACTTGGTTTTAGAGAGGATTTTGTGAATTTGACTTCAAAGGCAAAGGCAGTAAAAGCAAAAAATAAATGAATGGAAGTGTATCAAACTAAAAAGCTTCTGCACAGCAAAAGAAATGTCAACAAAACAGCAAACAACCAAATGGGAGAAGATACAATGGTACCCCGGTTTCCGAACATCTCCGCTGACAAACATTTCAGTTTAACGAACGCCGTAAACCCAGAAGGAAATGCGTCGGTTTTCAAACACATCTCAGAAGTCGAACATGCCACGCGGCTTCCACTGAGCGCAAGATCCTGAGGCCTAGCTGTCGGCTGTGGATCCCTCGGTTTTCGAACGTCTCAGAACTCGGTCTTCTGGAATGGATTACATTCGAAAACCGAGGTACCACTGTATTTGCAAACAACACCTCCAATAAGGAGTTAAGATCCAAAATATATAAAGAACTCCCACAATTCAACAAAACAATCCAATTTTTAAAATGGGCAGAGAATCTGAATAGACAATTCTCCCAAGAAGACAAATGACCAACAAATACATGAAAAAATGCTCAACTTCACAGATATCAGTGAAATGCAAATCAAAACTGCAATGAGATACCACCTCACACCTGTGGAGAAAAAGGGACCCCCCCCCCC